CCCCACGTGCTTCCCGGGCAGGCCCCACGGGGGCCCCCCGGCATCCAGTGGGCGGCGTCTGCTCAGGAGGAGCCGGTGTCCCTGATGTGGGGGCTCCTGCTGGGCAGAGCTGCCTGGCAGTAACCCCAGCACCGGGGGCCTGTGTGTCAGGCGCTGTGGAGACTTGTGCAGACCCCTGCCTGTCTCAGCCCTGGGGCACAGCCCAGACGCCACACAGGAAGGTACCCTTCACCCTCCGACCAGGAGCCTGGGACACAGGCCCGGCTTTGTTTTCTCTTTCTCAAGCCTCACACTCTGGTCCGAGCCTCCCTCCTAGCCTCAGCATCAGAAAAAAAAAAAAAAAAAAAGGCAAAAACAGCATGTTTTCCTCCATCCTCTTGAAATGGAATTACTTTCTGTTTGAGAATTACCCACCTGCTTCCTGGAGCAGAGAACTGTGTCACGCCTGGCTTTGATGGGTACATGTTTTGTATTACGTACTGACCTGCAGTCATAGCACTGCAGATTCCACATCTGGAAGTGGTCAGGTCACCCCCCTGAACTCTGTTAGGGTGAGGGAGACAGCACCGACTGCTCGGGGCTCTCGTGGGACAGCGAGCCAAGGACCACAGCCTGTGCTCGACTCCACACCTTTCCAGGTGCCGGCCCTGCTCTGAGCCCAGTCTCCCAGACCCCCATCACAGGCTGTCCGGGCCACCTGAGCCTTGGGGTGTGTGGTCTCTGCCTCTTCGTGGCTCTTCGAGAGCTGGAGAGCTGATGGGAGACCCCCGAGCAGGACCTGACTTGCGCGGGGCTCGGAGCTGGCTAGAGTGCAGACCTGAGGAACAAAGCCTGGGAGTGGCATCCCCGGGCGGCCGTCAGGGACAGTCACACTGAACAGGAGGGCAGCGGCCTCACAGTGGGAGGTCAGGTCAGCCCTCGAACTCCTGCCACTCACAGTATCCCTGACGCGGTCAAAGCAGAGAACTTCGTTCTAGTAAGCCAGATCGTTTCCCCTGTAAGACCAAAAAAAGCACTCAAAACATTGAGAAGGTATTTCTGTCGCAGAGGTGGGGTGGCTGTTAATTCTACTGTGCAAGACTGAGGCTGGTGAGTGTTCTCCGTCATTCAGGTCTCCAGCCAGCGGCACTCGGCCATTTCTAAGCAGGACTTTTGCTACTCTTGAGAACAGATTTCAGTAACTCTCAGACCCTCTCCCCAGGGACTTCCCTTACGGCTTAAGGTCGTGCCACCACACCCGCCTTCTCTGCAGTGCCGGTGCTGGGCAGCCGAGGGGGAGGCCAGCCTATCAGGCCTGCACTCACCCGTGGCCCTGCCTCCCTTCTCCCAGATCTGCCTCTGCAGGTGCTCTTTGACCCATCTCGAAGCAAAAATCTGGTGGCCAGTGTGCACGGGGTGTGAGCAGATTGTCACCCGTGAAGCAAGACTTGTATTTCTCGATGAGCTTCCTTGGTCACTGAGGCAAAGAGGTGGCCTGGGCACAGCGGACCCTCTGCCCCGCCCCACAGCCCACAGTGACAGTGTCCTGCTTGCACTGGACCCGGAGGCCCCAGAGCCCTGGACCACTGAACTGCTCCCGGGGAAGTCGGAACCCTTACATTATGGCTTTAGCAGGTGACACTGCTGTCGGGGCGCAGCGCAGGGACTGACCAGACGTGTTCATTTCTGCTGCAGATTATAAGAGGTGTGCCCGGCTTCTCACCCGGCTGGCTGTCAGTCCCATGTGCATGGAGGGGTGAGGTAAGCTCTGACTGCTTGACTGCACGGCACACACATGGCATGCCCTGCAGGACGTGAACAGTTCGTGGGGGTAGGGGACACTGCGTGAAGTGGACACCACAGTCAGTGCCTTCAGGCCGCAGCTCAGGTGGCCCTGCGGCCCAGCACAGCGCCCAGGCAGCCAAGGGAAATGCTCATGGGGATAGAGGGCCCGAGGATGTCACTGAAATGTGGCCTGTCACTGACGCATGTGCCTGGTGCAGACCCTGGGTCGCTCACCGGGGGTCCCCTCACTCACACCCCTCGGGAACAGGGATGCCCTGACAGCCGTGCCCACACTGGCAGGTCAGCGCCCATGCAGGCAGGGACGGCCCTCCTGGAATGTCTGCCAGAGCCCTGTCTCTCACCTCCTGTGGTGCCAACATAAACTGATTTTTACCTGATTTTTACTTTCTTGAGGGCTGACACATCATGGGACACTGGCCGTCAGCCCTGCAGGGGAAGGGGGACTCAAAGGTGTCGTCTGCTGTTTTTCCTCCCCTGGCATGGTCATGTCAGACAGCAAGACAAAACGCTGACCTGTCAGGCCTGGCGTGGCCATGGGACTGCCTGAGTGAAAGGGGAAGGCTGGCCCCTGTGGACTGGTTTGTCTCGACCAGGGGGTGAGAGTGCCGTGCTGCTCCCTGCACGTGGGAGCCGTGTCCATGCAGTGGCACTGGTCACAGGGATGGAGGCGTGGACTCCCAGGCCCCTTTGGAGGAGGGCAGTTTGCACACAGCCACGGCTGGGAACACCCAGACTAAAGCCCCGCTTCTCTTCCTGACCCTGTCTTTCTCGCCCACTGCCCGAGGCATGCAGAAAGGCTTCTCTATTTCAAACCCATGAGCGGATGTGTGAGCCTGTTGGTCTTCCAAGCAGGCAGGCTTGGGGCGAGGAGAGTGTTACTTTCCTCCAGTACGTCTTCATAGTTAGATCTCAAGTTCCCAGAGGCAAAATGGGCACGGCTTTGAACACGTGACCAGCAGTGGCACGCCAGGCACTCCCATCCCTGCCCTGGGCACGGCTTTGAACACGTGACCAGCTACTCACATGGGAAGCACGTGCCCGCAGTGGCACGCCAGGCACTCCCATCCCTGCCTCCTCCCTCTGCCCACTCAACAGCCACCTTCTACATGCTCCCAGGGAGGCAGTGGCAGGCGTGGCGAAGCTGAGGAGCAGGTCACAGTCGCTGGGGCTCACAGGTCTCCACTGCATGGTCACTGGTGCCGTGTCAGTGACGCATGCCGAGAAGGTGTCCAGACAGCTGCACAGACGGCCTCGCACCTGCCCCTGCCCAGCCAAAGCAGAGTGACTATGAGGACCCATCCTCTGGCGTCCGAGTGCCCATGTGCAGTTGTCACACTGTGACTGGTTTGTTTGGCAAAGAAATTGGCCAAGTTAAAACGCTGATGTTTCTGCTAACCATAATTTCATGATTTATTTACTTTAAAACAAAGAGCACGGGGACCAGCAGTTGGCGTAATGGCTATGTTCCTGGACTCCCATGTAGTCAACCACGGTTCAAGTCCTGGACCTGATGGCTTAAACTCATGCCGGGCACGTGTGCGTGAGTGCCCAAGATCCCGAGAGAAGAATGGAGGAGAAGGGATTGCGGCGTGGCCATCCTCCCTGGGGGATGATTTCTCGCTTTCTGTCTCTCTGTCTGTCTCTGTCTTTCTGGTGAGCACACACACCCTGTAGCAAAAAACTCTCAAAAAAAAAAGGGCATGCGCACACCAGGAAAAGTGAGAAATCACCCCTAGGCAGGACAGCCCTGTCACAGTCCCTTCTCCTCCACTGTCCTGTTAGGAATTTGGGCAAGGACACAAGTGCCTGTGTTTCAAGTTGTGGGTCCAGAACTTGAACTGCAGTCAGCCATGTGGGATCCAGCTGGCTTAACCGCCATGCCACTGGCTCACCCACTTACGTTTTTTACAATTGACTTCCAAGTTTCAGCTGCACTGACGCCAACTCCCAGCGAGCAGGGACCCACGGCCCAGAGCCATCGCTTGTGCACGGCATACTCGCCACCCACCCTGGATGACAGCCGAGTCCCGTAGCGGCTTGAGCTCGCGGCTGCCACACACAGTCCCTCCTTGAGGCAGGGCTGCACGTGTGCCACCTGAGAGCAGGCGCCACCTCCTCCCTGGCACTCCCGCTGCCTCGGGCCAGGCCCCTGATGGTCACGGGCAGCCCCCGACTGGACTTGCAGGTCCACAAAAGGAAGAGCCTTCCCCCTGCAGCGTTTTCAGAGAGTTTTCAGTGGTGTATCCGCGGCGCACCACACGTAGCTGTGTCTCACGGACCTTGACGTTTACCACCCTCTTAAAGGAGGGGTGACCGGTACCCAGCAGCTCAGACGCTGCAGCATGGAGTGCAAGAGAAGCGCTAGCGGTCAGCTTCACCAGCTTTGTGGGCACTGAGGCTAGAGGAGAAACATCCAGCCGCGAGGACGGGCAAGCTCTGAGCACTGACCCTCGGGCCTCAAGCACCTCCCCTCCCTGTGCGACCCTCAGCATGGGTCAGGGTGCTCACGCCTCGGTGGCAGTGCACAGTAACTACTGGCCACGTTGTCTTCATACCCCTCGTGTCTGCCATGCACGGTTACATAACCCGTGGGCTTGCTAGAAGGGACAGGAAGTGGGCAGTTAACCACCCTCTTTACCTTCCGCAGTGGGCAGAGCTGTGAAGCACACACACACCAGGAACCAGAGAAGTGCCTTGGAAACCGCAGGGGACGGACCAGGATCTTTATACACACTCCCTGTGAGCAAGAGATTTATTTTTGCACAGATAAACTCTTCCATAACCCTTTTGCGTTTCCTATGTTGTTGACACTGTTTGCAGATACACTGGTGAATCGATGTACCTGACAGTGACACTTGACGCTCAGTATTTAAAAAAACCCAGGAGAACGTTCCACATTCGATGTGCAGAGCTGTAAATGACGACAGTGACATTTCCTTTTCCTGATTAGGTGAAATCAGAGTATTTCTTTAGAGACACAGAATCTTAAACTATATTTTCATATAGCATACAGTATGATTTGATATTTTTTATTATTTTTACAATTCAGTTCCCAAAACATTATTTGTAATCGCATGGAAAAAAAAACAAAACACCTTAGGTCATGTTTTAGAGACAGTGGAGTGTGTAAATCTGAACAAAACAGGCTCATTCCGCTTTGTATGATAAATGTAAATAGTATCCTACCTATGGTGCAAATGTAAATCCTGTAAATAAACACACAAAAAATAAATGAAGTGTTTGTTATAATGAACAGCCTTCGAAGTGGCTCCTTACCACTCCAGTTCCTCACTGCACACCCAGGACTCGCAGACCTTCCGAGGAAGCCTTGCACTGGCAGAGTATCTCGGGGCCTAGTGGCATGACTGGATGAGCCTGAAGGCTAAGAATTTCTAAAAGGAACAAACTAACCCTTTTTAAAAGTAGAGGCTACTATATATTGGTGACATAACTTCTTCAGGCCTGTCCTGACTGGGTAAGGGTGCCAAGCAACATTGTACCCAGTATTCCCCACAGGACTTTGTAACCCTGGAAACAGGAGACTAGTAAGAGGGACCCAAGACGTCTAAGCAGTCTGGGTTTACAGGTAGCTCTATTCTACCAGCAAATCTGAACTGGATCAGACCCAAAGGGTGAGCCAGGTGGAGAGCAGGATGTCCCTGTGCGTGTGGCGCCCTCAGCAGGCAAGGTCTAGAAACAGCGCGATAGAGAAGCAGCCCTCGGGCCAGCCCTGTGTTTGAGGTGGATGTGCAAGGTACATAGACACACCAGAAAGAAAAACGATCCGATCGCATTCATGAAACTAACGAACAGTAAGGCAGGCCCCTCCCCCGGATGGCAGAGCAAGGCTGAGGCGGGCGCTCCTGGGCCTTGTCCCCTTCCCCGGGTCTCTGCCCTCAGGGAGGCTGTCACCGAGCTCTGCGGCAGCCTAACAGCTCCTTCAAGAGCCAAATGCTCAGGTGCGCATGAGCAGATGCCTCAGCCCTGCCTGACCTAGGCCTTCCCTGCACACACGCCCGAGCAGGTGTGCACGCCGCATTCACCCCTCCAAATTTCCGCTGGCACGGCAGTACGTGCAGCCCCCGGGGGGTCAGAACTCACTTCTAATAAAGGCTCTCTCAGGACTTGAAGTCCCCGACCGTACATGGAGGGTCCAGACAGGAGAGCAAGCTGTCATTCCCGGCTGGGCTACACAGTAGGCTGCTAGGGCTGCTCTCAGGCCAGGCCCTGTCGTGGCTGGTTTTCATCATTTACACCCTAATACTGAAGACACGTGTGCACATACAGCATCACGGATGTTTGAGAGCGAGAAGAGGCAGTGTTTTCAAATGCTGCTTGTCAGTAAAAAGGCAGGCAGACATCAGATTTATCTGAGTTGTATTTTTATAACTCCCCAGTTTATTCTGAAAACAATAGTCTCTCATATGTACCCATCGATTTTGAAATGCACGCTCTAAGTACACAGGAATTACCTTATTTGCCTATAAACTTATCAACACTGATGAGAATACTCCAACAAAGCGACATTTAAGCCCCTCGGCCTGAGACCTTTCACAGCTTCCTTCTACCACGGACATGTGAGTGCTCACAAACCCTTCGACGACCGTCCCGCCTGCCAGGACAGAAGTGGCCCTCGTGGGGAAAGTGCTTCAAGCAGGAGCAAACGCACTGGCCACCTCGCAACAGAAACAAGGCGAACGTGCACCGAGACGCAGAGTGTTCACAATGAACGGCCTGGGGTTCCATCCTCCTCCCTCCGGAGCTGTGATCGACGTGGACGGGCTCCTGTAACCCAAAGGCCTAGGTGTTCAGGGATAGGAGGTGGCCAGGTGAGTGGCACCTGTCCCGCAGCCACTGCGTGTGCAGCCGGACGGCCCACGTCACAGGGGGCTCTCTGAGGTGGACTTGGGCTCCAGGTGCCGCTGCCGCTGTCCCACAGGCTGCTCGTCCTCCTCATGTAACTGGGGCCAAGTGGGGGACGCTCCTAGTTTGAGGAAATGTACCCATAAAGTGTCAGAGCTAAAGACTTTTATTTACTGTCCTGCCAAACACAACTGTTTTCCATCCACAATGACGTTTTAAAGTAAGAAACAGAATCAGCTGAAGGATGTCGGGGCTGGGGACTGCAGGACGTCTCGCAGGGGAGCACGGCACGGGCATAGGAGCCTCGGGCAGGCCTCAGCCGCCGGCGGGCTGATCTAGTGGGCCCCCTCCAGGAAGGCACGGCAACACCGGACGCACTGCTGGTACACTGCCTCGAAGTCCGACTCGTTCCCCTACAAGGGTGGGCACAGAGGAAGTAGCAGAGCCTGGGCGACAAGGCTGTCGTCAGAGGGCGCCACGCGGACACGCCCGCCCAGCCGACAAGAGCAGCACTTACGTAGTAGGGGTCCTCGATGATGAGCTGCTTCTGCGGGTCGTAGCTCCCGAGCAGCTCAATCTTAGCTTTGCAGTTTTTAACTTGATTACTTTTCCTATTCAAATCTCTGCAAAATTGAAACATGAACTCAGTTTTCCCATCTGTGTTTCAAGTTAAACAGGAACATCTGTGAGGTTTTATGAACCATCCACATCAAAACTCAGCACAAGGGACCTGATTGGGAATGAAACAGAATCTCAGCAGATCCACGAGGCCCCTGTGCAGCTGTGCACAGCTCTGCCTGACGGGAGCTGCCGCGGAAGCACACTCCTGCCGCTTTCGTCCACAAAACATTTTTAAATAAGACAATAACCATGTTTTCTCCTGCGAAGTACATCTCAAGACAAAAAGGGACTGCTTCAGAGATAAAATGAGGTGACAGGACTCAGCCTTACAGAGCCTCCATGCCTTGCTGTCCCCTCCGTGCCTCACCGTCCCTCCTCACACCCCTGCTGACCATGGACCACTCTCCCGACAGCTCTGACCTGGCCTTCCATGTGGGACAGCGGGAGCGGCAAGCTCAGCCCGGCTGCCTAGTCACTCCAGCAGCAAATTTAGCAACTTTCCACTAAGCACCTGTGAGAAGCCAGTGCGCTCTGGGCACCTGCGGGGGACCAGAAAGCCCCTCTAAAGGAATGAACTTAGGCTGAAACAGATGGGAACTGAGAGCCGGCCAGTGGGCTCTGCAGCATGGGCAGAGGCTGGGCCTCCACTTGCCGCGCGCCGGGCCTCAGCAGGCACCTGTGCCTCACCCACGATGAGAAGCAGGTAGGAAGCGTGTGCGGATGATGGCCCGGGGTGAAACGCACGATGAGAAGCAGGTAGGAAGCGTGTGCAGATGACAGCCTGTGCTGAAACGTGACGGCTGCACCACATCTGCCCCCTCAGTGCATGTGCGGATGATGGCTGCACCACATCTGCCCCCCAGAGCACTCCGGGGCCGGGGTCTCTGCTCACGAAGGTGGGGCACCTGTGTGTTGGGACCACGGGTGGGACTGCACTACAAGGAGTCCCTGAGGTGTCATGAGCAGGTGTGCGCAGGTGCGTAGGGACGGGGTGGGTGTGGCGGGGG